CTTTAATGTAAGATAATAGGTTCCTTTTGAAAGTCAGGGCTGATAGTTAATGGAATTTCATATATATATATATATATATATATATATATATATATATTTATTTATTTATTTATTTATGGCTGTGTTGGGTGTTCATTGCTGCGCGTAGGCTTTCTCTAGTTGCAGTGAGCGGGGGCTACTCTTCGTTTTGGTGTGCGGGCTTCTCATTGCAGTGGCTTCTCTTGTTGCGGAGCACAGGCTCTAGGCGCGCAGGATTCAGTAGTGGTGGCTAGTGGGCTCTAGAGTGTAGGCTCAGTAGTTGTGGCGCACGGGCTTAGTTGCTCCGCGGCATGTGGAATCTTCCCAGACCAGGGCTCGAACCCATGTCCCCTGCGTTGGCAGGTGGATTCTTAACCACTGCGCCACCAGGGAAGTCCCTGTTTCATTGTATTTTGATCCCTATTGCCTAATCCATGGACAGTTACTCAAGGTTTGGATTAGCGGTTTGTATTTCAAGCTTTTGTTAAAAAATAAAGGATCATTATGTTAATGTTGATAGTCAACGTATTTCACTACTTGGGTTTAAGCTTGACATGTTTTCTTTTCCCCAAGCATCTTGAATTATTCATATGTTCACATATCTAATAAAATGTAAATTAGAAAATTCCCTAGTATCAAGGACATATGCTGTAGTATTTATATGATTTTAAATGGTATAATAATGTCTAATATTTTGTAGTTTGTGTATTTTTCACCCAGTTTTAAACATCTAGTCTTTAGACTTCGATTTCTTTCATTTTAAAATTTCTGATAAAATATTTTTGGTAATTGATATTTATATTTAAGTACCAGAGAAGAAAAATTTAGAAATAAACTCTTAAGAACATGAGACTGCATAGTGTCAAAGGAAAGTTAATAAATGCATAAAAGCCCAATTTTTTTTTTAATTTATTTTATTTTTGGTTGTGCTGGGTCTTCGTTTCTCTGCGAGGGCTTTCTCTAGTTGCGGCAAGCGAGGGCCACTCTTCATCGCAGTGCACAGGCCTCTCACTGTCACGGCCTCTCCCGTTTCGGAGCACAGGCTCCAGATGCGCAGGCTCAGTAGTTGTGGCTCACGGGCCTAGTTGCTCTGCGTCATGTGGGATCCTCCCAGGCCAGGGCTCGAACCCGTGTCCCATGCATTGGCAGGCAGATTCTCAACCACTGCGCCACCAGATAAGCCCCCTGGAAGGAGTTCTTTAGACCCAACCAAGTTGTCAGTTACTTGCCGCGCAGTCTTAATTTGGATGTTTGGTGGTCGTCTGGGTGGATCTTTTCAAGTCCAAAGACATAGAGCAATAGGAGAATGAGAAAGACTGAGGGGGGAAAAGCCTTGGCCTCAGTGCGCTTCTTCACGGCCAGAGAACTGGTCTCTGCCAGTTCCTGCAGGCGACGTCAGCTGCCACTTAACGGGCTACTTGAATCTACATGGCTCAGAATAAGTCCCAGCCACCCTTCAGAGGGGAGCCACAGCCCAATAGGCGGATCGAGATTATGGCCTTTGAGGCCCCGCATTGGGTGCCAGAAAAGATGTTGCAGGAAAGAGAGTGGGGTGCGAGAGGATGGTCACATCCCAAGTCATGTCTGAGTCCCTGGGATGGCCGCCAAGTGTGGGTTCTTGGCTTTGTGCAGGCAAGAATTCAAGAGCAAGACATAGTGAAAGGAAAGGTTTATTCAGGGAGATACACACTCCATAGACAGAGTGTGGGCCATCTTGGAAGGCAAGAGGCCAAGCCCAAATTTTTTGATGTTCCTATTTCATATATAAGGCTCAAAGATCTTTTTAAAGTTAAGATGGGTATTTATTTATTTTTACAAAAATGTTAGTTTGCATTAGCCCCACATTCACAAAACTTAGAAAACAAAAGAAAATGTCCAGCCATTGTAGAACTCTAACATCCAAGTATCAATTCCTTTATTCCAATCAAAAAGTGTTCCCAGAATTCAGCACAAAACTGAAAACACTGCTGCTACCAGCCATAGTCCATAACAGTAACTTTAAATTGTCCAAGGGGATTAAGGAAGCATTTTAAATCACTGTCACTCCTGCTGAAGGATTTTAGGCAACGAGAATTTATCCTCATACAAGAATAAATCTGCATTTTATCATTAAACAGTATGACCTGCTGAAGGATTTTAGGCAATGAGAATTTAGTCTCATACAAGAATAAATTTGCATTTTACCATTAAACAGTATGAGGGCCTTAACTGGGAATTACCAGTTTATAAACTTTCTCCCCCAAATTTGTGAATATATCTGAACGTTAAAATTTTCTTATTTAGAAGATGGGTATTTATTCTAAAAGGGTGCATAAGGGTATGATTTTGTGTGTATGTGTGTATATTAAATATACACGTTTTAGTTTATTTGAATCAAATTAAAGTTACAGAGGGACAGAGCCTTATAAACAACATGAAAATAGCTTGAGGGCCATTGATTTGTACAGCTTGGATGAGAAGGCATTGTAAAAATGATGTTTATCTGAAAATTGTAGTACTTTCTTTTCTTAAAAAAAAATACTAAAAAAAAAACAACAACTTTGTGTCGAGGGCTGACTTTCAGTAGATTGCAGCGAGGGAGCTCCTCTGCTACCTATAAAACCCCGACCCAGAAGCAGTCGTCTATGAATGGTTTAGCACCAGTTTCCCAATGAACATGCAGTGCTTGACAGGCAAGAGGGCGGCCGCCTTTCTGGCCGCACCTGTAGTACCTTATTTTATAGTACTATTATGTAATAGAGTCTTTGTAAGTTGTTTAATTGAGCAGGTTTACGTCATGTGAGATTTACAAATAATTTACATAGAAACTAAATCTCAGTGGTGGCCAGTGCAGATGATCAAAAAAAAAAAAGATATTTTTAGACTATTTTTTAAATGTTTAATATCAGATTTCAGATCCCATTTTAGGGCTAACGTGAATTTGAGAACATGCCAAGCTTTCTGCTGTAGTATAGTTTACAACTTGAATCTCAGTAGACTCTAAATCCTGCCTTCTAAATTATTTTAACTAAGTAAATATAGTGTAACCAACAGAAACAGTCATCTTGTACTTGTTGAAATAAGTGATATTCATTCTTCCTCTACATTAGTGAAAAAAGCTGGGTAAGGGGCATTTATAAGCAAAACCTTTTATACATTGTAACATTCCTCAGGCCTTTTACTTTAGGAGTTCTTATTTTAAAATTAGTTCCCAAATAATGAAACACAACTATAAGTGTATTACATAATCAAAATGTTACATGGAAACAGGATAATTGCTAAAACACTACTATCCTATTACTTGTACTCATTGATTATTTAACATAAAGTGCTGGGAAAACTGGATAACTACTGTGTTAAAAATAAGATGAGTAAGAGGTACAAACTATATGTATAAAATAAGGTACAAGGATATATTGTACAACACAGGGAATATAGCCAATGTTTTATAATAACTGTAAATGGAGTATAACCTTTAAAAATTGTGAATCAGTATATTGTACAACTGTAACATATAATATTGTACAGCAACTATACATCAATAAAAAAAGATATCTGTCTTCTCAGTACCAAAAACTTCCAGATAGAAATAGATTTGTGAAAAACATAAAACTAGAAAAAATACCTGTAAATATTTATGGACTGTTAGAATTATTCCCATTTCAAGCATAGCACCTAAGGCAGAAGTCATAAGGAAAAAGATTGATTGGATTACATAAAAGTCCATAGGGAGTGAATAAAATTTTGAAGCATACTTATAAAAGAGAAGTTTTGAAATGTATATATGACAAATGACTAATATTCTAAATGTCTGAGGAGTTCTTACAAATGAGAAAAAGTCATAGAGTTCTTAGGAGAAATAAACGTAGTCCAAAATTTATGAATGATTCAATCATATTAGTAACAAGTAAACTAAAACAATGAGATATTTCATACATTGAATTGGCAGATTTTTCTTAAGATAACATTCAGAATATGGCACAAATATTGTAAGCGGATCACAAATGGACAATTTAGTAGTATGTATCCAAATTGTACTTATCCTTTGAAGCAGGATTTCTGTTTTTAGGAATTTATCTTTAGGAAATAATAGAGAATGTAAACAAAGATTCTCCTACAACAAAGTTCACTACTGTGTTTGTAATGGCAGACTATTGGAAGCAATCTAATTTTTCAACAAAGTGGTGAGATTTCAGTGTTATTACATTTCTATAAAATATCATTTCAAAATGATTTAAATAGGAAATGAAAAAACTTCAGTTAAGCTCATAGTAAATACTAACATTGATTTGTTTACTCTGCTTCAATTTTCTCACTGGTAAATTGTGGATAATAATAGTATCGACTCATAGGGGCATTGGGACAATCGAGTGAGCTAATATATGAAAAGCACTTAGAATAGTGCCTGACACGATAACTGTAGTTAACAGTATTGTGTTGTATATTTGAAAGTTGCTAAGAGAGTAGATCTTAAAAGTTCTCATCAGAAAGAAAAAAAAATTGTAATTATATGAGGTGATGAATAGCTTACTAAAACTGTGCTAATCGTTTAACAATATATACATATATCAAATCATAATGCTGCATACCTTAAACTTATACAACATTGTATGTCAATAAAATTGGAAAAAAAGAAGGGACTCTTAGACCAAAAAAAAAATATAGTGCCTGATACATAGAAAGTGCTAGGTGATGTTTGCTATTAGCCTCATTAATTCACAAAATGCTTCTGAAATGTGAGATAATACAGAAAAATCATAGTTTATGGTATAATGCATTATAGATACATGTATAAAAGATTTGACTCTAACTTGGAAGAAGAAAATTGCCTGACCTTAAGAAATTGGCCTAGATTGAAAGTAAGTGACAAAGGATTACATTGTTAAAACAAATACACTAAACTTGTCTGGAGTTTTTATCCCTGTTATACAGCATGTACTCAATGCTGATCTCAGGCTAATTTTGATATTAAACTGAATCTCTCTTTGTTTTGTTTTGAACAGGTTGGCTCAAAGCTAATCTCTTGTCACAAACTGGTATTGGCTTGTGTTATTCCCTACTTCAGAGCTATGTTTCTCTCTGAAATGGCTGAAGCCAAGCAAACACTGATTGAGATCAGAGATTTTGATGGTGATGCAATAGAAGACCTGGTAAAGTTTGTCTATTCTTCACGACTCACTTTGACTGTTGACAATGTCCAGCCTCTCTTGTATGCAGCCTGTATTCTACAGGTTGAACTGGTGGCTAGAGCTTGTTGTGAATACATGAAGTTACATTTTCATCCCTCCAATTGTCTGGCAGTAAGAGCCTTTGCAGAAAGTCACAATCGAATAGACTTAATGGACATGGCGGATCAGTATGCCTGTGAGCATTTTCCTGAAGTGGTGGAGTGTGAAGACTTTGTAAGTGTGTCACCCCAGCATCTCCATAAGCTTTTGTCCTCCAGTGATCTAAATATTGAGAATGAAAAGCAGGTCTATAGTGCAGCCATCAAGTGGCTTCTTGCCAATCCTCAGCATCATTCCAAATGGTTGGATGAAACACTTGCACAGGTAGGGATGAATAAGATTGTGTATAGAAATGAAATGATATGGAAGCAAATCACCATGTTCCATTTATCATAAAAAGTATAGATTATCCATTGATGTAATATGATGTGAAAATGGCTTTGACTCTTTCCTACTTACTAAACCATTTAAGGATAAGTCTGAATGTGTTTTATTTGAATTAGAAAGATCATTACTTGCATTTTAACCTGAATATTTTAAAAATCCCTTTGAGATATCATTAGTACAGACCAGTACTGGAAATTGCTTTAGAACTTGGCACATTGAGCTTCATTCAGATTTTAGAAGGTAAATGAGTTTTAAAAAGAGAACATGCTGCAGTGAAAGTAGAGAATGAACTGTCCAATTGCAACTTAAATTTTATTTCTGCAACTATTCACAATCTTAGGTTCGTTTGCCGCTGTTGCCAGTTGATTTTCTTATGGGTGTTGTGGCAAAAGAACAGATTGTCAAACAAAATCTAAAATGTAGAGATTTATTGGATGAAGCAAGAAATTACCACCTTCACTTGAGTAGCAGAGCAGTACCTGACTTTGAATACTCCATTCGGACTACCCCAAGGAAACATACTGCTGGTAATTAAATTACTCATTTTATCAACTCTGCTGTAAGGAATTTTGTTGTATTTGAGGGTTGGTTATGTTTGCCGAAACCTAATTGTAAGATGATTAGTATCTGATTGTCTTAAAGTAATAATTGGCAAGTAAGGTTATATATGAATTCTTACTGTGCATGATTTCAGATAGTTTTACCAATAAGCCAGTTTTTTTAAAAGCCGTAACAAGACCTATACACTCTGAAGAGGCTGCTGGAATATCTTTTCTTTGGGGGCCTTTTTGATTCTCTAGGCAGAATTAGATCCTCTGTCATTTTTGCTTAAATGACACTTGCTTTGCACATCTTACTATGTTGCATTGAAATTTATTTGACATGTTTTGAGCCCTTCAGAGACAGGTAGGTATCTTAATAACTTTGTATCCCTGGTACCAAACATGGAGCTTAACACATACTGCATATTTAAATGTTTGTTTTTGCATTTTATCACATCAAAAGAAAGGTACTTAATACATCTAATGTTAATAGTATAACAGACCACATTAAACTCTTAGAATATAAAGCTCTTATACTTGAGGAGGCATGCAGTTTCGCCTTTATTTGCCATAATTTACAGACTTTCATGTTTTCCCAAGAAAATAGTTTTATGTTCACTTATGTTACTCTTTATATAGAATATATTTGTGGGATAAGGGAGAATAAATGTGGTCAGTGAATTCTGGAATCAGTACTCTGAACAGAGACTTCCTGTACATCTGCTGTGACCTAATGTGGTTATTAAATAAAGAGATCCGTGGAATAGCCTAAAAACAACAAAAGGCAGTACATGGTAATGAATAGTGGGACTTTATGTAGATAGTATAAAGAAAATTTGAATGTTGTAGATCTGCCTATGAAGAAGTAGTTCTTCTAAATAGTTGAACATGAAAAGGATGGCTTATTTTTCCCTTTCTTTATAGGTTGGTTTCAAGTATTAAATTTTTGAAGTGTAGATTTTTTTAGTTGTGAATCCTGTTTCAAGAAGCCAAGGTATTTAATTCTTCAGATTCAGACTTGAATTCAAAGGTTTTGGCAGTCAAGGTTATATGCCAAATGTATTAGACCCTCATATACGTGATCTCTTACATGATTGCAAGAACTTTATGAAGTAGGTTTTAGTGAAGGATTTGATCCTTATTGTGAGAAAGGTGGTGTTATTCCATTTTATGGATGAGGAAGCTAAGAATCAGAGAGAGTGAAAGGATGCCCAAGGCTACACAGAACAGTGGAGAAAGGATTTGTCTCGTGATCTTTTTACTTCATTTTAATTTTTTTCCTTCCGTGCCATGTTCCTAGGTGACCTATGTAGCTGAAATACTAGGGTCCACTTAAATAAAATCTAATCAATAATTGGGATTACATTCTGGGATTATAATTCCAGCTGTGCCATAAAACATCTGTAATTTGGGGCAGATTTCTTAATCTCTGAAGGCTTCAGTTTATAAATAATTTTGACTGCAGGATCTTTAAAATCTCTTTCAACTTTAAATTTCTCTGACTTAAAACACTGAATTGGTTGAAAAAGATAGCACAGGCAGTTCTGGTCATTCATATATGTAGTCATTCAGCAAACATACATTAAGTGCCTACTATGTGCCGGGTTCTGGGTTAGGCATTAGAAATGTAAACACACAAATAGACTACAGCCGTTCCTATTTTGAGAGAACTTTCAGTCTGATCTAGGGAAATAGACATATGAATAAGTAAATGCCATAAAGTATTAAAGGTATTTTGATATAATCAAAAGGTATAGTGGGAAGCAAAAAGAGTGGCTATTTTTACTTTGGAAGGGACAGAAAAGGTTTTATAGGGAAAATAACCCCCAGTCTTAGTTTTGAATAATAAATAGATGTTTTTCTGGGTGCCAGTTAGAGAAAAGGGTATTCAGTTTATTTTACATTTATTGAATGTTTAGTACACGCCAGGCACTGTACTCATCTTTATTAGTGCATAAACGCTTAACACACTATCTTAATCTCGCTTAGACTCTGGTGACAGATATCAGCATAATAGATCATTTCAATACTATATATTACGTGAATGAGAGTTACCAAAAGTTGTTATCAGAACATTGAGGATGATCACTATATGGGTGATGCAGGAGCTTAAACATTAAGTGAAAGAGAGGAAGAAAATCACATTGGACAATGCAAGGCCTTTATGCTCTACTAAGGCTTTATCCTGTAGAGCAGTGGTTCTCATAGTGTGAAGCAGGTGGTGGCCTCTTGACCAGCAGCATGAGCATTCACTTGGGAAGTTTTTAAAAATTCAAAATTTTGGACCTACCCCAAACCCACTGAATCAAACTCTTGGTGGGGGAGGGGTCAGGCCCAGCAATCTGTGTTTTATAAAATAGCTCCTCTGGTGATTCTGAATCGGAATAAAGGTTTTTTTTTTTTTCCTTTTTTTTAATTTGGCTGAGTCGGGTCTTAGTTGTAGCACACGGGATCTTTGTTGAGGCATGCAGGATCTTTTAGTTGCAGCATGTGGTATCTAGTTCCCTGACCAGGGTTCGAACCCGGGCCCCCTGCATTGGGAGCATGGAGTCTTAACCACTGCATCACCAGGGAAGTCCCCAGAATAAAGTTTTGATTTACTAAGAAAAATTGTGGTAAAACACATATACCATAAAAATCGCCATTTTAACCATCTTTAAATGTACAATTTAGTGGCATTCAGTAAAATTTTTAAGAACTACTGATACAGGTAATGAAAAGCTATTGAAAGAGCCTTTTAATTAGATTATTCAGTTGACAGTTTGAAAGCAAAAGAGTACTAAGTGATAAGAGAGAACAAGATTTTGCAGTAATAGCTGATGAGGGCCTGAACTAACAGTGGCTGTGGGAATAGCGAGGGAGAGAAAGGATACCTCAGGGAAGGACGAAATTGTGTAGGTGGGTGAGGAAGGGAGATCTTTTATGTTGGGTTTGAGGTGCCTCTGGGACATCAAGTGGAAATGTGGCTTAGAAGTGTAGGTTGGAAGGCATTATGATACAGATGGAATTTTAAGTAAAGGGATTGAACTTTTCCTGTGTAAGCATGAAGTATGTGAGAAGTAGGCTGAGAATGAAACAGAAAACATAGAAAAGAGAGAAATGATTGGAGACAAAAGGAGACTTTGATATTATGGAAATCAAGAGTTAAGGAGTTTCCAAAACTAGGGTGATCAGTATATCAAATGTTGTAATTGTATTCAGTCAGAAATTAACTTTATGAGTTTGTTGGATTTTGTCATGCATGACCTTGCTAGCAAGAGCAATTTTTCAGGGTGGGTGAGGAACTCAACCGTATTATAGTGGAATGTTAACAAGCTGAGATAACTGATGTATTCTATTTGAAAAGTTCAAATGAGGGGGAAAAAAAGAAAATTAGATTTTTAGTGGTATAATGACATTAAATGCTATCCAAATAACTTTTTTTTCCCATTAATCAAAATTTTGAGTTCGTAAGTTTTTTTCCACACTTATTTATCTTTTTTTTTTTTTTTTAGTTAGGGGGAATTTCCTGGCAGTCCAGTGGTTAGAACTCCATGCTCTCACTGCCATGGGCCTGGGTTCAATCCCTGGTCAGGGAACTAACATCCCACAAGCCGTGTGGTATGGCCAAAAAATAAAAACAAAATTAGCTGTAAAAAAAAAAAAAAAAAAAAAAAGGGGGAGCTGTGATTTTAATCTCTATTTTGTGGCTTTACCTTTAGGTGTGCTATTTTGTGTAGGTGGTCGAGGTGGATCGGGTGACCCCTTTCGCAGTATCGAATGCTATTCTATCAACAAAAACAGTTGGTTCTTTGGACCAGAAATGAACAGTCGAAGGCGACATGTGGGTGTAATCTCAGTGGAAGGTGGGTCTGCTTTTGTGTTAAATCACATCGTGTCACCACAATGGTCTTTTAAATATTTGAACTTTGAGAATTTCTTTCTATAAGAAAATTCCTACATTATAAAATATGTTTCAATATATCAGATTATTTGGTGAATGTTTACTTGCTTTATGCCCATAGATGCTCAGTGTACAATCTCTTGCATATAGATGCTTAACAGGAGATGAGTATTAAGGAAAAGGGAGTTAAACTGTTCTATTTGCAAAATAACCAAACTAAAGAAAAATATTTATTGAACACAAATAATAAATATATATTAACTTTTTTCTATACCTAATTATTATTATTGAAATGAGGGTTTTTTACCTGGTTACTAAAAATGAATTAATTGCAGAACCATGGATAAATTGTTAGGAGAATTAAAAAGTCACTTTTCTTCCAATTATAGAAGTATAAATGCTTTGGGGAGAAATATGAAAACATATTTTAATAAAAAACAAAAATCATCCGTAACCCAGACACCTAAATAGTCACAGTTACCATTTTGATATGTTAATAGTTCCAATTTTTATTTGTTTCATTTAGAAAAGGTTTGATATATTAAGAGTTTTATATTTTCTTTATACAAGAGCATTTTTTCATTTTATTAAACATTCTTTGCAAGGATGATTAGTGATTTCATCTACTAAGTAATAAAAAGTTGGGAAACCTAAGGGCAGGATAATGTTTGAACATTTAAATAACTTGTAAAACAGCATGTTTCAGGCATTTTATTAAGCAGAAGCTTACATTTATTTTCATTTGACTACTGAAGTGACTTGATCATAATGTTGAACAGAAGAATATTTGTTGAAAGTTAATTTATTGTGCTATTTTAATTATATATTGATTATAAATTTATATATAAATTTATTTACTTGGAAACAAATGAAAATATTTCTTTACTTGACAGGTAAAGTGTATGCAGTGGGTGGACATGATGGAAATGAACATTTAGGTAGTATGGAGATGTTTGATCCTCTCACTAATAAATGGATGATGAAGGCATCAATGAACACAAAGAGGTAGATGAGCATGGACATTTATTTTGATTAGTTGGTGGAAAATAAAGAAAGCTTCCTATAACTGAAAGGGCTAATTTTTTACTCTACATTTTTAGAAACCTTAAATACCTTCCTAAACACATTTTGTTAAAGCATCCAATGTGATGCTTCGTTATAACTTTTAAAATTTTCCTGAGAATTAAGAATAGAATCATGTCTTTGAGTATGATAATGATTGTCATAGTTTTGACTCATACCTGAGCATTTATTTAACTTTCTATTTTGAAATAATTTAAAATTTTCAGAAAAGTTTCAAAAATAGTTGCATTCCTATGTATTAGTGGTGCTCAACTGAAGATAATTTTGCACCTGGGGATATATTGACATCTAGTTTTCTATTCTTGATTAACATAGTATTTTTAACTGAGTTTTCTTGTGTGTTAGAAGTATGAAAACTTAGATGGAAATGTGAAGAGAGTTCGGCTGAAAAGAGATTTTTGGCCTTTTTTTCACTCATGAGGAGAAAGAATCATAGTGAGAAAAACCTAGCCTTAAAATACGCTACTTGGGCTTCCCTGGTGGCGCAGTGCTTGAGAGTCCGCCTGCCGATGCAGGGGACGCAGGTTCGTGCCCCGGTCCAGGAGGATCCCACGTGCCGCGGAGCGTCTGGGCCCGTGAGCCATGGCCGCTGAGCCTGGGCTTCCGGAGCCTGTGCTCCGCAGCGGGAGAGGCCGCAACGGTGAGAGGCCTGCATACCGTAAAAAAAAAAAAAAAAGCTACTTATCTATAAATGACATTTTAATACTTTAGTAGGGCTTAATTTATGCTACATGGTAACTACAAACAGTTTAAATTCTAACACATGAATTAAAATAGGGGAGAAAATCCTTAAGTACATTTTTAATCTTTAACTCTTGCCTCCTTATCATGCTAAGCTGGTTTTTAGCTGAGAATTGAGTGAAACTTGTCTAACAAAATAGCAGTTGAATTTCTTTAATCTTCTAAAATATACCCTGAGCACTACAATAGTTTTCCAACTGTATAAAAAAATAATAGAACTGCATTTATTTTCTCATGTTATGTTTTTATAATTTGTATCCCCCCAAATCATTGTTTTAGTGTGTATTCCAAAATAATATTCATATGTTAAATACCTGGTTTTCTGTTTTTTCCCCCCTTTTTCATCTTTTCACTAAAATGGATACTGATGTTTGTTCAAGGTATGGTTTTATTGAAACCCATCATCCTAATAGAGCATCTCTAGGGGTTGATTTATTTATTCAGCAAATACTGGTTAAGTGCCCATTACAGGATATACCAAGTGCTGAAGATACAGCAATAAATAAGACAGTCAGGGTCCCTACCTCCATAGAGCTTACATTCTAAAAGGCAAGATAGAAATAAAGACATAATTACAAGGGTAATAATGCTAGCACTAGCGTAAGTAAAGAATGCTTGAGAGTGGAGTCCCATTTAACCTAAGGTCTGAAGGAACAAAAGAATTTAGACTCATTAAGTGGTGGGTGGTGGGTGGTGTAAGGTTGGTGGATGGAGAGAGATGAAGAGCCTTTGAAAATCTGGAGACGAATGAGAGCAGAGAGCATGAAAGAAGTCCCATGTGGCTGACAGATCAAAGGGGATAGTGTCAACAGATACAGCTGAAATAGCAGGCAAAAAATAAGGGCCTTTCAAGTTTGCCAAGATTTTTTAATCTGGTGCACTTTGAAATACACACACACATTTTTTTTTTTTTTTTTTTTTTATATATATATATATATATATATATATATATATATATATATATATATATATAAAATTCTGAGAAAATCCACCAATTTCTGTTGTCATTCTGAGGTACTGTCCTACCATAATAACAAAATGCTTTATGAAATGAATTTAATGCTACTTTTCATATAATTCTAGTGTCTTCCCCTGATAGTTTTCCATCTACCTCTTTAACTTTCTTAATGATAAACATTGGAATGGCTTCAGGCTAATATGTCTTAAGTACATGCACAAGTGCAAGGACAGTCCAAGATGAAAGTAAAATCTGCAATAGGAAATGAAGATCCCAAACCTACCCGCGTCTCCTGCATCGGCAGGCGGACCCTCAAGCACTGCGCCACCAGGGAAGCCCCACATTTTTTTTTTGATAGCAGGGGAGTGATAGAATCAGATTTCTCTTTTCAAAGATCCTCTGCTATGAAATGGAGAATGTATTTGAGGAAGACCAGAGTGAAAACAGTCTGGGAAACCAAAAGGGTTATTGTAATATTTTTAGTCGAAGAAATAACGGTGGCTTGGACTAAAGTGCTAGAAGTTGAGATAGAGGAAAGAGGACATATTTGAGAGAGAGTTCAGAAGTGTACAATCAACAAGATTTTATAATAATTAGATGTGGGAGGTAAAAAGAACAATAAGGTAGAGGCTAAGATGATCCTTAAGTTTCTGGCTTAAACAACTGGATATGGATAGTGGTGTGACTTTCTGCATTAGGAAAAACAAGACAGTGTACAGGATAAAGTTTTTGTTTGTCTTCTAATGGCTATATTAGTTTTCTCTTGCTGTGTAACCAATTATGACAAACTTAGAAGCTTAGAACAACATCCATTAATTAGTTCACAGTTCCATAGGTCAGAAGTCCAGCAACTGTAACTGAGTTTTCCACTTAGGCTCCACAAGACCAAAATCAAGGTGTAGGCTGTAGGCTCTAATGGAAGCTCTGGGGAAGAAACTACTTCCAAGGTCATTTAGGTTATTGATAGAATGCAGTTCTTTGTGATTGAAGGACTGAGTTTCTTGTTTTTACTGGCTGTAGGCCAGGGATCACTCTCTGCTCCTAGAAGCCATTCTGAGGTCCTTTCCAAATGCTCCCCTCAGTCTTCAAACTAGCAGCGACTTGCAGAATCCACCACGTTCTTTGAGTTTCTGACCTGTCTTCTGCTACCAGCTGGAGAAACCTCTCTGCTTTTATAGGGCTTACGTGGTTAGATTAAGCTCATTCAGGTAATCTCCACTTTGCCATGTAACATAGTATAATCATAGGAGTAAAACCAGAGGGTGAATATTGTGGAGGAAGACATCTTAAAATCTGCCTAGCACAGGGAGGTAGACAGTAAGTTTCACTTCAGATTAAAGTTAAGGTTGAAGATCCAGACACAGATTTGAAGTAGAAGCTGTATATATGTCTGGAAATACATGTTAGAGTTATAAATCTATGGAAAGAATGAAATTGCCTACAGAGAGAGTATAGAGTAATAAGAGGCCTTAGGGAACTTCATAATTCAGTGACAGAATAGAGAAGAAGGCACTGGTAAAGGAAGCTGAAAAGTACCAGCCAGAGATGTAATGGAGGAGGAAACTCTAACATGTAATGTCACAAAAATCAAGAGAGTTTTGAGGAGTAAGAAATAATCAATAGTGTCTTATGGTCTTGTGGTTTAGGGGGTGGATGGAGGGGGGAATTATATGGTATACTCACTTCTGCCATCTACAGTGTACACACGTGTTCACCCACACCTGAAAGTTTTTATAACCACAGTATTTTGTAAGTCATTGCTTTATACTCAAGAGAAAAGAAGTTAAGGACACAAAATGAATGACTACGTTATCCTTAAGAATTCTTTCCTAGGATACTCTTTTGGTAAACTGAGAGTTATAATCTCAGTAGAGCAGCAGCTCTCTCCAGAAATAATAATAGCTAATACACAGCACTGAATATGGGCTAGTCACTGTTATTGGTGCATTACCTATATTGACAAATTAATATCAGTTGTGTCTACTGCTTTCTCAAATGGGTGACAGATGAAGAAGCAAGGTAGTAAAGGTTTAAGCAATCCACATTATCCAAAGTATATACCAAGTCAGTGACAGATAAATTTTAGAATAGTTCAACTTTTGATTGCTGCAGTGTGTTTTTTAAGAAATTGATATAATTTTTTTTTCAATCACCATTATGATGAATTAGCTTTAACATGGGCTAAGTCTCTTCTGTTCCAGGATAAACAGATTTCCTTCAGAAGTTAAGCAATGTGATATAAAGCTTGTAATATAAAATTGATGTTCTTTTGTGTGATGTAATGAAACACTGCAACAAAATGTGCTCTGCAATTATGTGAATTTAGTAATGAGATTGACTTCTGACCTCTGTAGCAGACCATCTCTGTCAATTCATCAGTCTCTTAATTATGCAGCTGAGTGTTTTACTAACTGAATATTTTGGACTCCATTTATAGTATTTTGTTGGGTTTTCCTTTATTATTTCATTTAAGTTTAAAGTAACCTGTGTAGGCTATGCATTATAAAACTCCAGAGGGCACTGTTCATATAGACTTGCACAATTTGGCAACCCTGTAGCCATCTATTCAGAAGCTTTGATAAATCTAAAAATAATGGGAAAAAGCCACATTGACATTTAATGTGATAAATGGTTACATTAGCACAATTATTTTGCTACCTTTTTTCTGGAAACAAATGGAATGCTGGAGTGTCTTTTATTGTTTTTGCAGGCGAGGAATTGCCTTGGCCTCCTTGGGAGGCCCAATTTATGCAATTGGAGGGTTAGATGACAACACTTGCTTCAACGATGTTGAGAGATATGACATAGAATCTGATCAGTGGAGTACAGTGGCACCAATGAATACTCCCCGTGGAGGAGTTGGCTCTGTGGCTCTTGTGGTAAGTTATGTGGCAGCTTGCTCACTGGATTGCATTGCGTCACATACCTAACCAAATATGGAAAGGTCTGATGTATTCATATTTCCAGTATGCAGATATTGATTACACACCAGATTATTATATGAAATACTGCTCTCTTGCACATTCTGGTCTACCATTAGGACAGCATGTAAATCAATTCAAAATCTAATGTCTTGTGTTTTTTTTTCTTTCTTTATTTAGAACCATGTTTATGCAGTAGGTGGCAATGATGGAGTAGCTTCTCTCTCTAGTGTGGAGAGGTATGATCCACATCTCGATAAATGGATAGAAGTCAAAGAAATGGGTCAGCGAAGAGCAGGCAATGGAGTTAGTGAGCTCCATGGTTGCTTATATGTTGTTGGTGAGTGGATATTTCTCTAGTTTAATTTTTTACAGGACATACAATGGTAGTGTCAGTAACACAAATTTACACTGCATTTAGGCCCAAGTGGAATCAGTCCTAAGATTTGCTTTTGAATTCTTAAGATTCATATTCAAGCTTCTTTGTTTACATCTTCATCTTTCATGTTTAAAACTCTACCTCCGTATTTTTACTTTACTTTTCTTGTCTTCATTTCAAGGGAATTGTGTTGACTAAGCAAACCAATAGGTATTTCATATGCATGATGGCAGTTAGTGTCTCTGTATTGCTTTTTGACTTACTGTATAATAGAGTTGGAGGGGAATAGCCAAAGCAATCTTGAGAAAGAAAAACGGAGGAAAAACAGAGCTGGAGGAATCAGGCTCCTGGACTTCAAACTATACTACAAAGCTACAGTAATCAAGACAGTATGGTACTGACACAAAAATAGAAATACAGATCAATGGAACAGAATAGAAAGCCCAGAGATAAACCCACACACATATGGTCACCTTATCTTTGATAAAGGAGGCAAGAATATACAGTGGAGAAAAGACAGCCTCTTCGATAAGTGGTACTGGGAAAACTGGACAGCTACATGTAAAAGAATGAAATTAGAACACTACCTAACACCATACACAAAAATAAATTCAAAATGGATTAAAGACCTAAATGTAAGGCCAGACACTATTAAACTCTTAGAGCAAAACATAGGCAGAACACTCCATGACATAAATCACAGCAAGATCCTTTTTGACCCACCTCCTAGAGAAATGGAAATAAAAGCAAAAAATAAACAAATGAGACCTAATGAAACTTTAAAGCTTTTGCACAGCAAAGGAAACTACAAACAAGACCAAAAGACAACCCTCAGAATGGGAGAAAATATTTGCAAATGAAGCAACTGACAAAGGATTAATCTCCAAAATTTACAAGCAGCTCATGCAGCTCAATATCAAAAAAACAAACAACCCAATCCAAAAATGGGCAGAAGACCTAAATAGACATTTCTCCAAAGAAGATACACAGATTGCCAACAAACACATGAAAGAATGCTCAACATCATTAATCATTAGAGAAATGCAAATCAAAACTACAATGAGATATCGTCTCACACTGGTCAGAATGGCCATCATCAAAACATCTACAAATAATAAATGCTGGAGAGGGTGTGGAGAAAAGGGAACCCTCATACACTGTTGGTGGGAATGTAAATTGATACAGCCACTATGGAGAACAGTATGGAGGTTCCTTAAAGAACTAAAAATAGAACTACCATATGACCCAGCAATCCCACTACTGGGCATATACCCTGAGAAAACCATAATTCAAAAAGAATCATGTACCACAATGTTCATTGCAGCTCTATTTAAAGTAGCCAGGACATGGAAGCAACCTAAGTGTCCATCAACAGATGAGTGGATAAAGAAGATGTGGCACATATATACAATGGAATATTACCCAGCCATAAAAAGAAACGAAATTGAGTTATTTGTAGTGAGGTGGATGGACCTAGAGTCTGTCATACAGAGCGAAGTAAGTCAGAAAGAGAAAAAGAAATACTATATGCTGACACATATATATAGAATCTAAGGGGAAAAAAAAAAGGTCATGAAGAACCTAAGGGCAAGACGGGAATAAAGACGCAGACCTACTAGAGAATGGACTTGATACGGGGAGGGGGAAGGGTAAGCTGTGACAAAGTGAGAGAGTGGCATGGGCATATATACACTACCAAACATAAAATAGATAGCTAGTGGGAAGTAGCCGCATAGCACAGGGAGATCAGCTCGGTGCTTTGTGTCCACCTAGAGGGATGGGATAGGGAAGGTAGGAGGGAGGGAGACGCAAGAGGGAAGAGATATGGGAACATATGCATATATATAACTAATTCACCTTGTTATAAAGCAGAAACTAACACACCATTGTAAAGCAATTATACTCCAATAAAGATGTTAAAAAAAAAACTTAGAGTTCTTGATAAGAGAGTGGGATATTTTTAGCACTTAAACATCTACAAATAACAGAAGTAATACTGAGTATTTCAGTGCTTATGTTTATTAAGAGAAATAACATAATTTTTTACCTTTTCAGTCTAGCCCAATCATCACAGCAGCTCTTTGAAGTAGTGAGAGACTGAGCGAGTGAATAATATAGTCACAGGCCTAAATAAGTTGACAAGGCTGGAATTTGAAGCAGGGTCTGTGAGAACCCAGAGTTCTTACACTACACCATTGCTACCTCTCTCAGCGCCCTATCTAGCACAGGCATTGACATATGTTATATGTCAACAGGAGTATCATTGTTGCTGTTACTTGTTAAATCTTCTGGGCACTTATAGTAGAACAGACATGGTAAAAATAAGACTGACTCAGGTAGAACCTTAAAGTAAAAATCCTCTTGGTCATTCAAGTTCTACTTAAAACAGGTACAACTGATTTGAATAAGAAAACTTTGAAGGTAACTGTATGTACAGGAAGCTAATTGCATCCTCCCTTTTCTGTTCCTCTGCTTTGAGTTCTTTGTTCAAAATTTATATGCATTAGCTAGGGAAATGATAGGGAGCCCATGAAAAAGAGGACCGTGAAAAATATAACTACCCTGTATTAAAAACTTAATCACTTCTACATTAGCATTAGCAATAATTAAAAGTAGAGCCTTTGTTATAGTGAAAAAATGTTTTTTATCATGGTTGTGGTGGTGATAACACTATTACATTTGTTAAAAGTCACTGAATTATGAACTAAGATCAGTGAATTTTATTTTATTTTTTAATTAATTAATTCTTGGCTGCATTGATTCTTTGTTGCTATGTGCGGGCTTTTACTAGTTGTGTCTAGTGGGGGCTACTCTTTGTTGTGGTGTGCGGGCTTCTCAGTGCTGGCTTCTTGTGGAGCACAGGCTCTAGGCACATGGGCTTCAGTAGTTGTGGTGCATGGGCTCAGTGGTTGCGGCTCACGGGCTCTAGAGTGCAGGCTCAGTAGTTGTGACTCATGGGCTTAGTTGCTCCACGGCACGTGGGTTCTTCCCAGACCAGGGCTTGAACCTGTGTCCCCTGCACTGGCAGGCAGATTCTTAACCACTGCACCACCAGGGAAGTCCCAATCAGTGAATTTTACCTCAGTTGATTTAATAAAATTAAACCCATTAGAGAAGTTAACTTTGTTGATTTTTTTTTTTAACCTGACCTTGTTTCTAAATAGACTGTCATAATATCAACACTTCTGTCCTCAGGAAAATAGGCTTAGTCATCAGGGAGACCTATTACTCATGTAGACTGAGGTGGAGCCTAAAAAGAGAGACATATACATAAAGGAAATCTATGTCTATACATAGACATAAAGGAAAGAGCACTGTTAAAATAGCAGTCTCTGTGTTTAACAATCAGGAACATAATAAGTAACATTGTTAAGATGATCTATAGAGAGGGCTGTCGGCGTCTAGAATAGGGAGCATGAAGATGTAGTTTTGGCAAAAATTGGTAAGAATTCAGTCATAGTTCACCAACTCTGTAATTATGATTACGATTATAGTACTAAGGGAAACAGTTGGAAAACTTTGACATATCTAAATGAGTCAAGTGACTTAGTATATTATTCTCTTCTCAAGCCTTCTTACTGTTTAAAAATCTAATATATACATGTACACACAAAGAGAAGGAATTTCAGTACTTTCTAGCTTGCCTCTAGGAAGCTAAGGGAAAATTATATGAATGTCCGTGAGTTTTTTTCTCCTAAATTATCTGCTTAAATATAGGGACTTTAGTTTTCCTCACTTTAAGATTTTTAATCCTAATATTGAGGAAAATACTATTTAAATTATCTTGAATTGTAGTAAATGTATAATAGGAGTTGGTAGTAGTCATAGATGTTGGGGTTTTCTAAAATGTTTTGAAAAGATTGATTTGTAGAAGTTATTGAATTGAAATTTAATGGTTAATTTCTATGAAACATAATGCTATTTTAAAAATCTTTCTTTATATAGGTGGTTTTGATGATAATTCTCCTCTGAGTTCAGTTGAGCGGTATGATCCTCGAAGCAACAAGTGGGATTATGTAGCAGCCCTTACCACTCCCAGGGGTGGAGTGGGGATCGCAACAGTGATGGGCAAAATCTTTGCAGTTGGTGGTCATAATGGCAATGCATACTTAAATACAGTAGAAGCATTTGATCCAGTGCTGAATAGGTAATTTTTATTTCCTTTACACTTTAATGGGATCTTCCAGTAACAGATTATTCTGGAGTGCTAAAATGCTGCTACATGTAGTTAACAGAAAACTTTGGGGATAGCTTACTATCTTTCAAAACCAGTCCCATAATAGGGATTTTTTATTTTGTTTTTGAGTAAAGTAAATCATGATTTGTTTTAAGATAACATCCTTTCTCCTCTGTCTTTTCAGGTGGGAGCTTGTTGGATCTGTGTCTCACTGCAGAGCTGGAGCAGGTGTAGCTGTGTGTGCCTGTTTAACTAGCCAAATTCGAGATGTAGGTCATGGATCCAGTAATGTGGTTGACTGTATGTGACTTGAATTCCAGCCACCAACAATTTAATAACATCTGATAGGCAAGAAAGACTACCAGTATTTTGTAATGGCCACCTTTGAACAGTTTTAACTACTACTAGAGTCTCATTTAAATGTAAACTGTTGTATTGTGACTAAGTGCAACTTTTGAAATGGTAGCTGAAACTACTAGTAATAAAGTTCATACTTCCCACTTTAACAAATAATGAAGTAGGGAAGGAAGACACTCTAACCTGAAACCATATCTCCTCCAAAAAAAATGTTTAAAGGAGTGCCAAAACCTTGAAATTCCTTTTTTTAAAAAGTGTGTATGAATCAAAATGTAAAATGAAGTCATTTGCTGAGCTTTACCTTTTGCCTAAAGGTGTTAACCTTAGGCAGTGGACTTTTCCTAGAGGGGAGATTGGAACCTATTCATCAACACAAGGATATCAGGACACATAACAGACCTGCTCCATTTGAAGATCTTTTCTACTTGGTGCTGATGAATTTATGCCTTGCTTTTTCTAGGTGTTGAGTTTTCAATTCCTTGGATATTTACAGAAATCGGAAAAATGTTTCATCTTTCTGAGTGCCCTTTGGTTGTGTTTTCAGAAGCTTATAGGAATGCTGTAGGAAGCCCTTAATTTCAGTTTGAATTGTTAGGACACCAAAAGATCTAACTGAACTAATTCCCTGTGAACGAATCTGCAGTTTTATTTTTTCATTGCATGCCGAAAGGATTTGTTTCATAATCAAAAACTGAACCAGAGGGGATATTAGAGGAGAAGGCTTTAAAGTCAACATTATTCTGGTGCCCATTTGAGAGCCTTGAGAGGGAATGGTGTCCATTACATGACTCCCTAATGAGGAGACTCCAAAAATATGTTTAACACTCTTCTTTGATTTAGTCATTTCAATTTGAACCCAAGATTTATTATTTTTCTATTTTGCTATTTGCCACCATCATAGTTTTTCTAAACTGTACAGAGTCTGGATTTATTTATTTTCAGTAAATGAATGCATTTTTACAAAAACCCTTTATAGATTGTAGTTGAACTGTTGAATACTTCAAGTCCATCATTACCAATAAAAGATATTGTAAAAACAGAAAGATTGAAACTGTTTTTCCTGTTATATTTAATTCTCTCCAGTATATTTATTGAACTTTAAATGAAAATATTTCTTTACATTACTTTAAAGCCCAGGATATTGATATATCTACTGATCTAACAGCTCTTCATGGTTTTACCAGCATTATAAAGTGGCTTATTTGTTATATGTGTATATTTTTATAAATATTTATGAAGAATATTAAAATATTATATTTTGTATTTGCAGTGCAAGTTTGGTACCTCTCTTTTAGGCCTTCCTAAATTTTCCTTTAGTCATGCCTTAGAATTTAGTATAGTTTACTGCTGTCAGTCATCTTGTTCACAAGGAAGCTGGGGCAGTGAAGAACACTACTCCATCTGTCCAGCCCTGAAGCTCATTGCCTAGTAGCTGTGATGGTCCTTATTAAATGGCAACCTAGGCTTGTCAGTACAATAAGGCAGAAGGCCACATTCCAAAAGCCAGTGCCTTGGATATATTAGATCAAAAAAATAAGAAAAAATTGTAAGTGGGCTCAGCTAGCAGATAAAGGTCTATCGTGAAACAGATTTAAGTATTCCCAATTTTTTGCTGTCAGCCTGTGGGCAAGTCCATAAGTCATTGCTGGATCTGAACCAGTGTTCTCTTGTACAGTTGTAACCGTATTTCAGTCAATCCCAAAAGCATTTAACTCCGTAGCACTCAGTGGACTGGCTACAACTGGCTGGATGTGGAGAATAAGGCTCAAAACCTGGCTTCAGCTATTTCTTATGTCTAATGGAGTTCTTGTATTATAATGCTTGTCTAGGTATGGTTACTAGTGTGTTACATGTATTTTTGTGGGGGAGGGGATCTTTTATTCTTTCTAAGATTATTTAAAATGTTTTTTTCTTTAACATATTTCTGCCTTTGTCATGTGTATAGCATTCAGGAACATGAAGGTGTTACATTTCCATTACTGGTTTTATCTATACAGTAGTCATCTAACATTACTAAGTTGGTACCCTAGCTACCCATAAAATATGAACTACTCATAAGGGAAGTAAAGTGAAGTAAATGGAACATGTGGCTGGCTGTTACATCATGTGTGGGTAGTCAGAAGCACAGCCTTGAAGGACCTGACAATGGTATGAAAAGATTAATAGTAGAGTCAATATGCACAGTCTCTTTATTAGAAACATATTCTTTGAGATATGAAATGTGAATCAGGCTGAAGGAATCATGCAACTGAAAGGTGATTATATTCACAGGAACAGAAGGATGAAATATTCAAAGAAGATGGCTACTTAATAGTGAGGCCTGTCCCTTTAACCTCAGATGTTAATATCACCTACCAAAAAGACATAAAGTAGAGCTAAAATTCTAAATTATAAATGGAAAAATAAAAATTTGCGTATTTCTTTGAAAAGTATTTCTAGTTGCTTCTGTGTGATTCTCCCAAATAGTTACTAAAGCCACTGCTTTTACTGTGTTGTACTGCCACTTTAAAAACAAATTACTTGATAATGTTTTTGACTAATTTCACTATATTCTGTGTAACTAATTTATTTTTAAATGTTTGAATAAACTGCGTACTCTAAGGAGTATTATTCATTCTCTTAATTCCTAAATGCATTTTAAACTTACAGTGCTGTTAAATGCCTAGATAAGAGATTGTTGAAATTGCAGAAACTACTCTTGCAAATGGTACAGTTGAGAGTTTTGTTCCTTTTTTCTCCATGTCTTATATCATAGAAAATGCATTTAGAATCTAATTCATGTCTTATTGGTTAAGAATGTTTTCTGTGGTTTCTCGTATCAGACTTCTAAAGAAATTATATTGGGATGTCATTGACTTTGTCTCTTTTTCTCCTTTATGTGGAGTAAACAAGTGGCAATAAAACTTCTCTATAATATTTTCTTAAAACCATGTATTAGTGTAGTAGTAGTCCAGCAAATCAAAATAATAAATTATCATATATACTACCAAGTACTGAGATCAGAAAGTTGCTATTAATTCAAAATATGTTGCATGTACCTATTATAAATAGGAACTTCTTCCTATATAGTGTTCATAACTTTGCTTTTCATTGTTTGATTGCTTTTATAGAATCTTTTCAAAACTATGTAATTGTTTATTCTTGATCCTTCAAATACAAAATTGATTTAGTAGTTGCTGGAATATTTTTCTCCTCAAAGAAAAGATCTTTATGTTTAACTGAAAATAGGAAGGTTTTTGTTAATCTGTACAAAAATTAAAGGTTAAAGGCAACTGATTTGAGCAATTGTCTCTTCAGCAATTGTAGACTTGTACTGTATAGAAATAAGATTCTTTATGCATTAAGATGTTGTCCTTCCAATTAGTAACCTCATGAAGCTATAATTATGTTTTTCTACTTGCCATTGCTAAAAACTTTTCTGAAACTTCTCTTTGAAAACAACCTGAACATCCATTTGTAAGTCATCCAAGAGAATTAGTCTCATCATAGTTATATGTTAATTTGGACCAGAATCTTAATAATGGCCCTGTGTACTTTATTCATCAGACTTGATTCAAAATATTTTATGACTATCACAGGTTAAATCTACCCTCAAAGAATTAGGTTTTCCTCTACTGGAAAAAAATTTTTCAAAAGTAAACAGTTCCAATGGAAGATTTCTAAAATTACCCCGAGCAATAGTAACTTCAGTGAAAGAAGTCTATATCATCTTTAGAAAGTCAAATACTGTATGATTTCAGTTATATGTGGAATCTAAAAAAAAAAAAAGAAAAAAACGCATGAACATAACAAACAGTTATAGATACAGAGAATAAACAGGTGGTTGCCAGAGAGGAGGATGGGGAGAGGGGAGAGAAATAGGTGAGGGAGATTATGAGGTACAGACTTCTAGTTGCAAAATACATGAGTCATAGGTATGGAAAAAAAGGGGGGGTCTTTGAAAGGAAACTATTTTAATGCAAAAATTCTGGTGGTTTTTGTTTTAACAAGTCATTTTTCCATTATCTTATTGGTTGTGGCTGAATTTAGTCCATCTGAACCATAAGGAGTTTCTTAAATTTGGGTAGTAGTCATGGGGAGTATTAATAACTACAATTTGTTTATAGTCTTCACCAGTCGATTGATTGATTGATTGATTAATGGCTATGTTGGGTCTTTGTTGCTGTGCGCAGGCTTTCTCTAGTTCTGGTGAGCGGCGGCTTCTCATCGCAGTGGCTTCTCTTGTTGAGGAGCACGGGCTCTAGGTGAGCGGGCTTCAGTAGCTGTGGTGCACGGGCTTAGTTGCTCCACAGCATGTGGGAATCTTCCCGGACCAGGGATCAAACCCATGTCCCCTGCATTGGCAGGCAGATTCTTAACCACTGTGCCACCAGGAAAGTCCCACCAGTCACTTTATAATAATCTTTTAATCTTTACAGTCCCAAGCCCCACAGCATGCGGGATCATAGTTCCCTGATTAGGGTTTGAACCCGTGCCCCCTGCAGTGGAAGCATGGAGTCCTGACCACTGGACTACCAGAGAGTTAAAGATTAGATTCAAATACAATAACTTGCCCAAAATCCACAACTAATCACTGGTTGACCAATATTCTTTGTGACTGAAAAATTCCACTGTTCCACCTAACCACCTTTGCCTCTGCTTTCTCAAATATCTGTAGATATATATTTAAGGAAAGATGATTTTCTTTTTCATAGTTTCTTTGTAGCAGTATGAAAGTATTTATGGTCACCATTTCTCTCTTTTGGTCACTTGCCATTTATTGAGATATAATTGACATAAGTTTTAGGTGCGCAACGATTCAATACACGTATGTATTGTGAAATGGTCACCACAAGAATCCATCATTACACATAGTTACAGTTTTATTTCTTGTGATGAGTTTTAAGATCTACTCTCTTAGCACTTTCAGATATGCAATACAGTTCTATTAACTATAGTCACAATGGTGTATGTTACATCCCCAGGACTTATATTTTATAACACTGGAAATTTGTACTTTTTTTTTTTTTTTTTTTTTTTTTTTTTGGTGCGCC